GGGGGGGGGAGTAGAGGATGAGGGAGAGAAGGTTAGGATAGAGAAGGAGGTGGAGGAACAGGTGAGAGGACTAAAGGGGGGTGGGAGAGGCCGCGGAGGTGTCCGAAGGGCAGTGAGGGGGTGCACTTTTCATTGGGCTCTTCGGCTTGGAAACTTGGGCAGACTGTAAATGGAGTCCGCCGCCCCGATTTCGGAGACGCCAGAACAGGGACCGGAGACAGACCCTCCCTCGGCGGGCTTCCCGAGATCTTGCAGAAAGCGTCCCAAAAGTCAAACTTGCGACGGCTGCAAACCGCGCGAACTGGCAGGGGCGCGAATGAACCGCGCGCCGTCGCTAATGCAGCCCCAAGGGCCGCCCCCGCCCGGAGGTGTCGGCGCCCCTTCGGCCGCCCAGCCCGGATCGCCAGGCGACGGTGCGTGGGGGAGGAAGAAGACAGCGCCGCTCGGGTGAGCCGCGGCCGCTCGGACTGCCGGTCCGCTGTCCCCACCCCCGCGCCGTCCTGCGGGGTTGGGCGCCCCGTGTGGCCTAGCCCCTCCCTCCCTCCCCCGGCTCTCAGTGTGTCTCCTTGTCCCCCTTGCAGCGACATGGGCTGGCTGTGTCTTTAGCGCTCACCACCATGTGCACTAGCTTGTTGCTCATGTACGGCAGCATCGGTGGGGGTGGAGGAGGCAGCGGCGGAGGCCAGAAAGAGCAAAGCCAGCAGCAGGTGGTGGCGGCGGCGACAGCCAGCGTGGAACCCCAGAGCCCGCGCCCGCCGGGCGGCAGCGGCCAGCGGCGCCTACCGGGATTCCCCGCTCGCCCCTTGGAAGGCTACATCAGCGTCCTGGACCACAAGGTGAGTCAGGCCACCTTGGAGGAGGAGGAGGGCGGGCTGGACAGGGCGACTGGCATATGACAATGGCTGATGAATCTGAGCTGGACTTCTTGCCCTCGGGCTGCAGGCGGAATGTTTTCCAGTCCACCAGGCTGGACTGGACATATACTCTCGGTCCCATGGCAGATGTCTTGGATGCAAGGAATGCTGTCTTTTCCTCAAAGTTCTGAGGTCAGAATGTGCCCTCAGTTGCGCAGTGGATAGCACAGTGGCCAGTTCCCATAGAATTGTGGGATGGTGTCATGGACTGCTTTCAAAAATGCCCACAGTATCAATACCAAGATACCTTCTTTTTAAAAATCACTCTGCTTCATGGAATTTCAGAGAACAGCACCCTTCTTCAATTCCTAGTTCATTTTGAATACTTCTGCAGTTGGGTGGTTATCAGTGTTTCAGAACAACTTTGAAGTCAGCTTTTATCTTGTAGGGCTTTCCCCCCTTCCCCCATCTTTTTTTCTAAAGACACAGAGAGAGCGCTCCAATAAGTGCTGAACTGGATAGCTCTGATTGCTCTGAGAAGTCACTTGCAGAAGACTAAAATAACCCTAATCCGAAACAGGTACCTCCCAACTGGAGGTCTGTCTGTGAATGACAGAAACTGCCAGCTAGTAGGTCAGAGTCTGTAATCTGGTTTCTGAGGTTCTGTAAACCCCCAACAACATTTGTGTGGCAAAAGGAAATGTTGTGTGGGTTCCTGTCATCAGTCATGTCTTTCGGTTTTATGGTACATGTAGAGAACAGCTCTCCATAGTGTTTTAGTATGAATAATACTGAAGAGGTGTTGAAGGGAAACACATGTCTGGAATCCTTGTACAGCCCCTGAAGAAAGAGAGTTTGCTTGTTCAGATGCATTCAAAACTGCACTGTGTTATGACTAAAATTATTTTCTGTCAAACTGATACTTTCAAAATATGATGGTTACCGTTTTTTTAAAACATTTAGGTTTGGTATATACTAATACTTGTGCAGCAGCAAATGGCAAAGCCCTCCTGTGTGGCTTCCCTGATTATATTGGGACAGACATCCTTTCCCCTATATCCTAGCTTTCCTCCAGCAGGGATCTCTTTTATTGATTGACTAGGAAAAAGGCCCGTTGTGGAAATAAATACAACGACCTCTAGAAAGAGGCTCTGGGTGAATGCCCCAGCCTTGGACACTCAGTGTCAATTTGCTGTGGTGACCTCAGCAGGGTATAATGACACTGAGTCCACCATTTTCTCCAGAGGAACTGATCTCTGCTACCTAAAGAACAGTTGTAATTTTGAGTGATCTCCAGCCCTCACCTGGAGATTGGCAACGATGGTTCCCCAGAAGGGAATAGTTGGTTTGGAGGGTGGAGTCTATGGCTTTGTACCCGTCAGAGGTCCCACGCCTCCTGAAACTTCACCCTCTACAGGCTCCATCCCTCGCATCTCCAGGAATTTCCCACCTGGAGTAGGCAACCATATCTTCTTTCCAACCAATCATCAACCTACCTTTATTTCCCCCTCACTCTTCAGATTTCCACCCCCCACACACACCTGCAGCCTCTCCCGTGCTCTGAAGCCCTGACTGCTACGTCACATTGGCTGTCATACGGGGGCCACCTCAGCAACACATAAGGATACAGAGCCCACCATTTTCTCCAGGGGGACTGATCTCTGCCATCTGGAAAGCAGTTGTAATTCTGAGTAATCTCCAGCCCTCACCTGGAGATTGGACACATTTTACCTCAGAACAGCAAAACTGTTTAGAATGTTAGAGGTAAAAGCCAATCAAGTCGCATATGCGAACGACCTCTGTGTTCCGAGGCAGAGGCCAATGAGGCTGCATATGCAAATAACCTCTGTGTTCTGACTGGCTATGGGGGGGAGAGGATTAGCAAAATGTTTAGAATGTTGGAGGCAGGACTCAGACAACGCAGCCAATGGATAGGGAGACCCTCTGAATGACAGATCAGAGAGTGAACTGATTTTGAAGCGTGTGGAATGTTCTAGAGAATGCCACCACAATTCAGGTTTTATTTATAAGGGAGATTGTACTTTGGGGTATTCAAACATGTAATCTTGATTTTAAGTCTGTAGTTGTTCTACCTTTTCTGTAAATTTCAGCTGGCTCTGAAAAGCACATAACCAAGGAGAATGACTATGATATTGTCAATACGTCTTGTATTGTGTATCCATCTACACCATAGGTTCCCAAACTTATTTGGCCTACCACCAAAAGGCTACTTTAGATAGGTCCTGGACTCTTCTTTCCTTATGCTTCCACCACCCCCTTATTTGTATTCAATGCCCCCCAATTGCACCCAAGGCTCTGACCACCCACCTGGATTGTTCCAGCACCCTCAGGGGACGGTATTGCCCACTTTGGGAACCAGTGATCTACACTGTGGTCTCTTCTTTATTTTTGAAAATCACATATTTACATCATGAGTTCCTGAAATTTATATTTAGAGGTATGGGAGATATGAACTCTGTTATGAGGATATACGTACTTATCTAGAAGTGAATTCCTTTCAAATAAACATTTTTCAAGTCAGTATTTAACAGGGAGGTGCCAAAGGCTATGACTGATGGATGGACAGTGTTGGCTAATCAGTGGTACCACCTGAGGCCACCGCCTGGCTTTTTCCCATGCTTACCTTGACTCCTTATCCCCTGAGAGTTCAGGAAGCCTTACAGAGTATGTGTGGCTTGCAGTGCTGTGTTTCAGAATGCTTGGGGAATGGGAGTTAGTTACTTCGGTGTGGGAGCTGGTATCAGAGGGAACTGAGGGAAGGGTCACACAGTGAGGGTTGCTGCCACCTGAGGCCATCATCTCACTTTAACTCATTAAAGAGTCAGCCACAGTGGAAACTGTGAACCTTCATCTGTTCATTATTTCATGATCAACAGTGTCCCTGTCAGAGCATCCTACATGACTCTCATGTATCCAATCTTGACTCTATGTCCAAAGACAGAAACAGTTTTTCTCCAGGAAACTTCAGCTAACAGTGCTGTCCACAAATCACAATATTAGTTATTTGCAAGTTAGTATATTGTTTGTAACTGGTATAACAAAGAAGCCTATGCTATACTTAACACATGAAAAATAATAAACAAATTTAGTTATCCCCAAATGTGTTATATTCCTTGCAGCTAATATCTGTTCTACCTTTGAATACGGCAATAAAAATGAGACTTTACATAGTTATAACTGAAGAAAAACTGTGAAGTATCAAAACTGTATTTTGAAAACAAAACTATACAAATAAGACTTCCCAAAACTAGGTGTATATTTTGAATCCAATGTCCAGCGTACAAAATTTAAATGGATCCCATTGATGCCTGTGTATATATAAAGAAATGAATTGGAAAGCAGTAGAGTTAATTAAGTGTTTGATGAAGAGTCATTCTGCAAATAGTTCTATATCTGTATAATCTCCAATATAGATGAATATACTCTGGAACATAATTACTTTGTGTAAATGGCACCATGAAAGAGAATGTTACTGGTATTTGAAGGGGGGGGGGGAAATCCCATGCATTCAATTCTTTAAAGACAGATCAAATATAGTTGGAAATCCATTGAGAGTTGTATTCTGATATGGGATAAAGGTGTTACTCAGTGAATGGTGACATCATATACTAGGAAGGAGTTGTAAGCTTTACACGAGTCCTTAAGAAAGTGAATTTTCAAATGTTTGCTGTCAAAAGGGCATCTGTGTACAACAGATCCAATTATCAAGTAAATTAATAGAACCGTTGTTTTATAACAGATCCACCAGGGGGAGTCTTTATTCCACAAACACTTTTTTGTGGGGATGGGTGGGGGATAGACCCTTTGGATGATTACAGAACACATGGCAGTTTAACCACAATTCAACAGTAGTGGGGAGAGACAACCCAGTGCTCTCAGAGGTGCTCTGGTAAATTAAAAGGGCTATATTACAGTGATATATAGGGATGGGCACAAACCCAAACATTCCAGTTCAATGCGTGGTAGATCTGTACCCCAAGCTGAGGCCAAAATGCCTGAACCGAACCAGCCAGTTTGGGCTGCCTTTCACTCGGCTGCAGCAAGCTGCGACTGGGAGAAGGGGGGGGGTCACACAGGAAAGGTTAAATTGCTGGCATACCAGGGACAGATGGTTTGCACCCAAGAGTGCTCAAAGAACTTTCTAGAGAGCTTGCAGAGCCTTTGTCCATCATCTTCCAGACCTTTTGGAGGATGGGAGACATGCCACAAGAATGGAGGAGGGCAGATGTTAGCTCAATGTTCAAAAAAGGGAGGAGGGATGACCTAGGACAAGCTTACTGGATCGAGGGAATGCTGTTGATGTTGTTTACCTGGATTTCAGTAAAGCTTTTGACAGGACTGTAGGATAGTTAAGTGGAAAGGGAACTGGTTGGAGAACCACACTCAGAGAGTATTTGTCAATGGCATTTCGTCTGAATGGAGGGAGGTGTGGGGAGCCACAGGGCTTGGTTCTGGGCACAGTACTTTTCAATGTTTTTTTTATAAATGATATGGATGAGTGTGTGGAGGGGCTACTCATTAAATTTGCAGATGACACTAAATTTGGAGCAGCAGCAAACACACCAGAAGATAGAGACAGAATTCAACAAGATCTGAGCACATTGGAAAAGTGGGCAATTTAACAAGGATAAATGCCAAGTTCTACATTTGGGTAACAAAAATAAGGAACACGCATACTGGATGGGGATACACTTCTGAGTAGCAGTGTGTGTGAACAAGATCTTGGGGTAAGGGTGGACCAAAAGTTAAATATGAGCAGCCAGTGTGATGCGGTGACAAAAATGGTTGGCCCTTTATTGAGAATTGGCCACAGCTTAGTGGGCCTTAGAGCAAGCCATCCCTAATTGATCAAATGAATGACCATTATTGCGAGCACTTTAATTATCTGAAGGGCTGTCACTTAGAGGAGGGCAGGGAGCTGTTCCTGTTGGCAGCAGAGGATAGGACTCACAAAAATGAGT